CCAAACGGCTAGAAACATTAACCAAGTCTGGGGCGAGGGTTGTGTTAATGAGTGCACTGTGCAAAGGTGGTTTAAAAAATTTCGGGAGGGAGATTTCAGCCTTGAAGATGAAGAAGGTCGTGGAAGGCCTTCCTCTCTTAATGATGATGTTCTGCGATCAGTGGTGGAAGAAAACCCCAAAACAACTGTTCGAGAACTTGCAGAGCAACTCAAAGTCAGTAAAACGACCGTCGCTGACCACCTCAAGGCGATTGGAAAAGTGAAAAAACTCGAAAATTGGGTTCCACACTCATTAAACGATCGCCAAAAAAATCAGCGCTTTGATGTTTGTGCATCACTTCTTTGTCGAAACAAAAATGACCCATTTCTGGCCAGAATTGTTACATGTGACGAAAAGTGGATTCTCTACGATAACACTAGACGTTCTGGACAGTGGCTCGACAAAGGAGAAGCTCCAAAGCCCCCAACTCATCAAAAAAAGGTAATGGTTACGGTATGGTGGGCTTCATTTGGTTTAATACACTACAGCTTCTTAAATCCTGGCGAAACCATCAATGCTGAATTATACTGTAACCAAATTAATACCATGCATCAGAAATTGGCAGTAATGAAGCCCTCTTTGGTCAATCGGAAAGGGCCCATTTTGTTGCATGACAACGCTCGACCACATGTGTCACGTGTAACGTCACAAAAATTATTGGAGCTTGGCTATGAAACTTTGCCTCACCCACCCTACTCTCCGGACCTCTCGCCTACTGACTACCATTTTTTAGACACCTGGACCACTACTTACAACACATAATATTCAAAAATCAAACGGAACTGGAAAATGCATTTATTGACTTTATCAATTCTAAAAATTCTGAATTCTACTCAGACGGAATTAATAAGTTACCAACACGTTGGGAGAAATGTATTGAGAGTATGGGAAATTATTTTGATTAAAGAACATTGCTTTAAAGTAACTAGTTTCTTTTTTTTTGTTTAATACCAAAATCCTGCATTATTTTCCGGACAACCCAATAATATAGCGCCTGAATCGTTTACGTTTCAATAATCCTTGATCCATTCTGCAGTTGTTTTCCAACTAAACTATTAACCATGGTCGTATTGTTGAAAGGGTACTATTGACAAATTCTGCTATTCAAACAAAAACTGTTCCTCAGCTGTTGAAATAATTACAAAGTTTCATCGAGAGAGGTCGATTTGTCTAACTGAAAATTTATCTCAACGATTACGACACCGATTTTCGTTTGTAAAGACTAGGCTAAGAAAGGTCCTTTTCATTGAAACGGCACGACCAGACGCGTTCAATACGCCGTAGTTTCATCCCATTTTTAAAAAGAAAGTGATCTAGTGGTGGACAGAAATGCTATGTGTATATCACTCCTACTTCAAAACCTCATAGTGTATCAACGATTTTAAGCATGAAGGGACGGCCCTTTCAATTATGCAGGCACATGATTTAATTGATTAACGCCACTAATTTGAGCTTTCATCATTAAGATCCTGTTTGAAACACGAGCACGCTTTTAAGGAGCTGTCCTAGATTTTAACGCGTTGAAATTATTATTTTAACGCAATAAGTAAAAACTACAGGCGTTGCATTAGATTTTAATGCGTCGAAATTATTATTTTCAAGGCAATAAGTAAAAACTACAGACGATGCGCTAGATTTTAATGCGTCGAAATTATTATTTGCAAGGCAATAAGTAAAAACTGGGGCGTCGGTGGCCGCAACGGTTTAGGCGTTGACACGGCGCTCATCACTGTAAGGTAAAGGTCCCGGGTTCGAATCCAGCGGTCCTGCATTCGAACCCGACATTCTTACAAATGGGTTGTTTTTTGTTTTTTCAAAAAGACTGGCACCCTGAGGGTTTATATGACCTCTGCTGTTGCGAACCCTTGTAAGGAAAATAAAAAAAAATTAAAAAACTACAGGCGCTGCACCAGATTTGAACGCGTCGAAATTATTATTTTCAAGGCAATAAATAAATACTAAAGGCGCTGCATTACATTTTATCGCGTCGAAATTATTATTTTCAAAGCAATAAATAAAAACTTTGAAAATTTGTAATACACCAAAATGGAAGAATTAAAAAAAATATATATAGTCTTTTCGGTAGAATTTATAAGAGGAAAACCTGTCTTTGTATTGTAGATATAATCATACAGCTGACCCAATTCTATGAAAGTTTATCGTTTATACATAATTTTTTTATTTTTTGTTTATTTATTTTAACTTTGAGTACACATCTTGCTCATCGTTTTTCACCCCCCTCATTTCCTCGTAAAATATCATAAAACCCAACAGATAAAACAGAATTTCCATCAAAATCTACCCAAATCTCATTCCTTCCAACTATCTTTTCCAAATGTATTCACCAGAATCTATGGCTGAAATTTCAATTTGTTGCGAGGCACATCACACTTTAATAGTTGATGAAGTGAAAAAGTCGGTTTTTACGACGAGTACTCTCTCATAAAACCCTAGTTGTCTTTAAAGTGGAATTTTGAAACATTTGGTCACGTTCGTGCAACAGACGAGTGGAAGATGATTGGCAAGATTGGCGTTCATCACGAATTCTTTCTTTCATTACGCGAACGCTTGGTTTTAAAAACGATTTAAAAAAATTACAGTGATTCGCGATATAAAAATGGATAATTTCTGTTAAAAACCGGTTAACTTTTCTTAATGATTATTATTTTCGGTGTGAAAGTCAATGAACTGCTGTACCCAGTGCTGGAGAGACTACCAAGAGTCATGATTGCCTAACAACAATTACTAAGATTATATTTTAAAGGAAAATTTATGAGAATTATTATCTCATTCAATAAATTTACAGATAGTAGAAAGTTAAATTAGCAAATAATTGGAAAAATGGTTCAAGAAATGGAGAATCAGATAACAAAAATGCAAACAATGACCTTTCCCTTCAACTTGACTTAATGACTCTTTTCCTCTTCCTGCAACCAATTTGGATTTTACATCGACAGAACTTTCACTACAAAACCCCTGACAAATAGATGAAGCTGTACATCTACTCACCTTTGTAATACTAATCTCAATCCATGAGTCCATATAACACCTCCAACTTCGATCTCAAAGACATAACAGCAGCACCCTAACGACCCTAACTACCTACTTCCCAATCTGTCAAAAATCCCAAACCTCAAAAACATAGGCACCCCTCTAAATCATATTGCCATATCGATTTGCTACAATATTTGACATAATTCTTGAAAAAGTCTTCCTGAAATACCTTTCCCATTCCTTAAAAGCACCAGAGTCATTTCAAGATGTCAATTCAGGATCAGGCAACACTTTCTCTTTCACCAGAGCCGCAGAATGGTAGACATCATTGCATCCTCCTTTGAGATGAAATACTGCTTGGGTGCTTTCCTGGTCATGAGACAAGCCTTCGACCTATTGTAGATCTTAGGCTTGCTCTGGAAACTCAAGGGCAAGATTCCATTCTCTTATTACCTTCTTCTAACACCCTATCTGTCCACTTAAAAGTTTGAAAAGGCAGCATCCTGGTCCCATCCTCATTGTACACTGCAGACTGTACAGTAGTATACAATACCACCATCCTTTCAGCAATTTCCTGTTTGTCAGAATGATTCAAGAAATGTAAGATCAGCCCCAATGAAACCTAATATCAACAAATGACCTTACAAATTGGTCCTTCTCCCCCATCCACCGTGCCAAAGCGGGTGTTTGGCAAGGCAGATTACTTAGTTTCATTTTATATTATTTTATATTCAGTTTACTGAAGATATTCCTATCAATCATAATGCACACATATGCAGATGATACCGCCATTCTATCAACAAACTAAGAACCAGTGCCTGAAAAAAAAAAAATCCAATCCCTGGGGGGTCAGACTCAATAAAAATCCTAACAACCTAACCTATACTCTCCACCTTACCCCACCTCCCTTATCTACTGCAACTCTTCTCTCCCAGCAATCAATGCCATCTGCTATTTGTGGTGTTACATCAACAAAAAACAAACTTGGAACCTCACGCAGATGATATCAACTATTCACAAGACAACAGATCGAAACTCAAAGAAACATTAAGAGGTTGGAATGCTTGGTTGAACCATTTCTGTCCAAAATCTTTTGCACCATTGCCCAACCTCCCTTCTACATAACCACACAGACCTTCTCATTTGTCCTCGAAACCACAAGAAGTTATAATAAATACACTTCCATAAAACCCTGGACCCTCCCCCTAACCACCCCTCCCCCAAATCCTTCTAACATTCATCCAAGATGCTTAAAGTTCCTCCTTAATGAGGAAAATAAATAATGCTAAGATAGTAGTGTTACTAATGGGTTACTTCTCCACTCTTGTATAATAAAATTCATATAAGGACAACAGAGTTAATAACTTTATTATTCATCTCACCACTTCAAATATCTCTGTGTAAGGATTTGTTTAATTACTAATATATTATAATTAATTAAGGTTTTTAGTTGAGATAAAAAAGTCAATGGCACGAGCGGGATTCGAACATACGATCTTCGGCTTGATACGCCGCTGCTCTACCACTTGAGCTATCGTGACCTCGATCCACTAAAAACCTTAATTAATTATAATATATTATAATTGGTCAAGCGGACCACGAAATTAGTGAATTTAATGATTTAAAACGAAGTACACTTCACTAAAGCTCTCTGTGGCCATTTCATTTGTCGTCGAGAATCCAATAGATTACACGACATTTGAAAAAGGGCAAAAAGGAGGGAAAATTCAAAAGGTGCGGTTGAGATGGGAAGTTGGTGTCTGAGTGGATCGAGGTCACGATAGCTCAAGTGGTAGAGCAGCGGCGTATTAAGCCAAAGATCGTGGGCTCGAATCCCACTCGTGCCATTGCCTTTTTTATCTCAACTAAAAACCTTAATTAATTATAATATATTATAATTGGTCAAGCGGACCACAAAATTAGTGAATTTATTAATTACTAATATTGATCTTAATTTTGTCTGCAGTCTATGCCTGAGATCAAACTAACGGAAGACGAATGGTGCATCGGAAATTATTTCACCTCAAAATCGCAAGTGATAATCAGGGACCGCCTTATGAGCGATGCAGTTTTAGGAGATACACCAATTAAATCGGAACATTCTTACTGCAGCCTCTTCAATCAAAATGACAGTCTCAAAACAAGAAGCATCATGATAAAAGAAGGTATTGAAGGTTATTGAAATATTTTTCAATTTTTTTTATAAAAATATCAACTGTACTGAACACACATTTTGTTGCGATGCTTTATCACACACCTTTACAGACCCAACTGTTAAAAAAAAACTATAATTATGTTATCGGTATTTTTAATCGAAATGTATTGTTTCCTTGTCTTCATAGAGATGGAAGATGACATACTCCCAACAGTTGAACCGAAAGCAGCATCTGGTAGAGTGATTTCACCTTCTGAAATGATCGTTGTTAAATCAGAACCTGTCAGTCATCCTGCATCCCCTCGATCGGAATGCCCTTCCCCGCCAATTACCCTGCCGACAGTTTATGCTACAATCAAACCCGAACCTAAGGTATAAATATTTTGAAAGATTTGTTCTAACAATTTGATTCAACTGAAATTTTATTTCAGACTTATAGCAAAAGTGTTTTAAAACCAACGACTGTTTTAATCAAAGCCAAAACAAATGTCACTACAAAAAGGAAGCAGACGCTTAACAATACCAGCAAAGCAGAGCCCTCGACATCAGGTATGTAGCTGAAAAACTCTTGAAAATATACATGCTCAATTAAGCATTCAAAAAGTAACAATGAAAAGAAAGTTTAAGCTTATTATTTAACATTTAAAAGGAAACTTTTAAAACTTGGAGCTTATCCCCCAAATACCCTGAGGAATATCAAGTACTCTGGGATAGTGTGAATGATTTGTGCTGTTTATAAGTAATTTATTTGCGTGAATGGAAGGGTTTCTTCTCAATTACCCCGAGGAATATTGAGTTGAAAAGGCGTGAATTTATCCCAGTTGTTTTCAGCTTATAAAGTGTTTTGACCCATTTTCTGGAACTCCTAGCGTAACATTCGCAAAAGAAAACCAAACAATATCCAAAATTAGAAAATTAAACTTGGCTTTCTGACTTAATTCCTCACAAGAACATTTGCAAACACTTAAATTTGACTTTACAAGGAAAGGGTAATGATTTGTTACAAACACAAATCATTTTTACATTTTCCATGAATAAAACCAATAAGAAAAATATTTTTAAAAAATACAAAGAAATTAAAAGAATTGCAAGTCGATTTCAATAATAGGTTTGAAGATGTAAAAATGTCCCTGTAAAAAAATCAAAATAAATAAACGTTGATATTTTTTTTAGTTTTTAACCTATTGGGGATCAATAATCATTACTAACAACTATTTACCAACAAACGAAGGGTCAAAGTTTTCCATGATTTAATCTCTATTTCAGACATTTTTACATTTTGTTATCCCTGGAGAGCAATTTCATTTTATTTTATTACCCTGTTAATTTTATTTGTCTGGTAATGAGCCGTTTAAGCTGCGATTAATCAGAATTGTCACACTCCATGAAGAAGGGAAATATTACATCGCTAAACACACTAGCATTCATTATTCCTCAGTTTCAAGACGGAATTAAAAGTTCAGGGGTTTCCCAGTTCACTGGGCAGTTTCCTAGATCCCAATCCATAAGCCCAATGCCATAAAATAATTTGATCGCTAGAATTTGGGGGAGCTGACTTTCGTCAGAAGATGAGAAAGTCAAACTGATAAAGAAGACTTGTGAAATGCTTCTTTCTCACCAAAGAACACCATAGACTGCAAGAAAACACCAATTGCAGACTATAATGGTCTGAAAAAAGAGTTTTGTTCACTGCTGAGACGATGGTTAACAGTGCAGATTGCAGTGAAAGCATAACTCATTTGGGACAATTTAAAAAGAAAGGTTAACTGGATTAACCTCAAAATACTATATGGGCTATATTGGAAAACAACATAGAAGTTTTATGAATATGACAAAAGTGATGGCAGCAGTCTTTAAAATCACAGGGCCTCTTATTAAACACATTTTGAATATATAAAAAATTAATTGTGTTAAAAAAGAAAACTTGAAGTGAGTTTTAAGTTTAAAAATAATTTTTTGTATTATATTTTATTATTTAGTTCTAGTTGACCTTCTTGTCACTTAAATGCTTATTTTAAAATCACAATACAGGATTTCCTTGGCCTCCTACGCCACCATCATCTATCTCAAGTGATAGCGAGGGTAACGTATCACCATTGCATCCATCATCAACTGCATCTCGCCTTGTCATTGCCTCCACTGTATCATCAAGGCAGCCGATACAGACAACTCTCATTAGCTGTCAACCGGTAAGGAATATGCTAATTTTGATGTACAAAATAGTTAAATTATGATAAAATTACACAAATTGTTTGATGATTAGGAGGTTAGAGTTTTAAATATTCTATAATTTAATATAGTTAGTCTTTCATTTTTTTTTTGTGTAGAAAGGGTCAACTGGTATTTTACTTCTAACAGAAGAAGAAAAGAGGACTCTTTTGGCTGAAGGATACCCTATACCTGTTAGACTTCCACTCACCAAAGCTGAGGAAAAGACGCTGAAAAAAGTGCGAAGGAAGATTAAAAATAAAGTAAACATTTTTTTCATTGGCACAGTTCCATCAGACAATTGTAGCACATATGCATTGTATTGTAATTGCAGATTTCAGCCCAAGAGTCTCGGAGGAAAAAAAAGGAATACATGGACACCCTCGAGAAAAAAGTACAATTGCTTGCTTCAGAAAATTTCGAATATAAAAAGAAAATATCTTCTCTGGAAGATATAAACACCAATCTTCTAAGTCAAGTAGCAAAACTAAAGTCAATAATAGCTAATTCACAGGTATGCTATAACTATTTTACAAAAATTAAATATAAAAACTCATTTAGNTTCCAATCCAACCTATGACTTAAATTTTTCATTTTGAAAAATCATGTACAATTAATTGAGTATACATTACTGATTTATATAAGTGCAAAAGTTGATCCTATCAATTCTCGCAAACCACTGGCAATTCCAGCTTTTGTTATTTAAAATAAATCACTGGCAGATCTTGAAAATCACCTACCCTGGGTTCAGGAGTCCAGGATCATACCTCGGTCATCCTTTGCTAACAAAAGGTGAAAGTTAGACCAGGTTAGAGAATATGTAGGGTGTAGTAGGAAATCCCAACCAAGCTTCATTATCACCTTTGTCATTCTGGCCGTAGAGGACTCGCGTTGTCCTGGTGAAAAATTATACTTTTTCTGTTCATGAAAGCGGGTTGTTCCTGGGCCAGGACAATAAATACTTGTTGCAGTTGGCTCGAGTAGATTTCTGAGTTGATGGTCTGGCTATCAGGGGTTAGTAATGCCCAATGCCATACTCCATCAAACACAAAACATTACCTTTTGTTGGTGAATATTAGGTTTTTCATGTCAGTGGGGCAGGGTCATTCAGTATGACCTGCTGGTGTTACTCTATAGGATCCATTTTTCATTTAATGTAACAATCCAGTCAAAAAATGTCTCTACTTTGTGCCACAAAAACATTGTTTAGACGCTTAAGCTTGTGATTATGAGTATAACTGAGAAACTCATTTGCTCAGCGTTCACATCTTTCCAAGTCAATGTAAGCTAGACCTAATCTGCCTATGGAAAAGGAAATGTTGATTAACAGTATAAAAACGGCATAAGTTGCCGCCACAGTTACGGTGCTCTGTCGGTCGAATCCAGTGGCCCTGGATATTCATACGCTACTCAATCTAGAAAAAAATTGTATAGTTTTTATCATGGAGAAGGGGGTTGTGTTAATTTAAGTAGGATTAGGGCCATGTTAAGGTTAGGGATTGGTTAGGTTATGTTATATTAGATTAATGTTACAGTTAGGGACGGGCTAAGCTAGGTTAGTTCTGGTTGAGTCGGGTTAGGTTAAAGTTAGGTACAGGTTTGGTTTGGTTAGGGGTGGGTTAAAAAAGCCCATTTATAAGTATGTCGGGATGTTGGGTTCGAATGCAGGGCACATACCTACAAATGTCGTTTTTATCAACAAATGAAAAACCACACTTTTCTGCTTACTTGGTACAATGTTTTTTTTTTCTTCTTTCAGAAGTGAAGAGGCTTGGAAAAACGATTTTTCTCAGACATTCTATATCATATGATGCCAAGAATTTAATATGAGGTAAAAAAACATATAAGTAGCAAATAAAAAAAGTTGTAATTTGTTTAAAACATAAATGCAAATTGTTTAAATTTGAGTATTGTTTTAAACTGATTGTTGCAATATGTAAATCATATAATGTTTATGTTATGTACGTTTGATGTTTAAAGAGAAAAAAAATCAAATTGAATGGTTTAGCACTTTTAATCATGTTACTTAATTTAATTTTAGCTATTGCGTATTATTATTATTATTTTCAAAGATAATTCAGTTTATTTAGAGCACTTGGTACTATGATAGTACAATTGAGTGATTTTATGTGTTAATGTAATTGTACTACTTGAGTTTATTGTTGTTTATTTATTGTTTTTTTCTTTTCTTCAGTTTTCATGTTTTTATTACACACCCTAAAAACAATGCTCCACAAATAGTTTTACAGACTTTCAAATATTAAATACTTAGTATTGCTAGAATTTTTTTTAAAGATGTGTATATTTTTCTATATATCATGCAGTATGCTTAGTATAATATTTTAAAAGAGTGGTGGAAAAAAAATATTGTTTGTTTTTTTATGAGAAAATAAGATCAAACAGCAGCTGGATGTGAAATAAAATAGTTGCAGTGTATTATTTATCTTGTAATCTAAATAAGATAAAGAATAGTTATGGACTGTTCTTACAAAAATCTTTTTATTATTTTTTTTTTAAATTTTATTTTACACAATGTCTATATATGTGGTAACACAATTCTATTTATTTTTACTTATTTTTATGAAGTTTTGTAAATTATATAGATTATAGATGATTGTTACCAACTGTACAAAAAAAAAAAAAGGAAAAAAAAAGAGTTTTTGTTTAGTGTGATTTGTTGTCTCACGCAAGTTTTGATGGTAAAGGGAAACTGGCCGAGCCTTTGTTTTTGTTCCATTGTCCTTTTATCATTGAAATAATTTTGATCTGTCAAATATTAAATAATAACCAATCAAATATTTATATTATCGAGTAGTTAGTGTAATGTAGCGATTAGCATAAAACTATCTTTTTTTCTCCAAAGAGTAGAATAATAATATAATTAAAAACCTTTTTTTGCTATTGTTAATCATTTTTAAATGGAATTGTTGTGATGATTGTAATAGAGTATTGATAAATTGGAAAATATTTTTTAATCAATACATCAAACTGCATATGCTCAACATTTATATCACTTAACAAGGAAACTATTTTTATTTTATTCGATAAATTGTCTGAATAATTTCTACATAAAGCTAACCTTTGACTTCAGAAATATATAAATTTTGTTTGGAAAATTGTCTATTTTTGTGATGTATAACACATCCTTTTGAACCCTTATTGTACGAATATTTTAGGTTGATGATAAATTTAAAAAAGTAAATTTCTGTCAGGATGGGTTAATGTCTATCCGTTGTCATGCAAGAGTGGATAGAACCATCAGACATTGGGGTAAACAACAAAATTCCCCTTGTTTGGGCACCAGGAGAAACAAGGAGGCCAAGGAAAGTTCGATGAAGACACTTATTAGTCCAATCGTGCTCAGACTAATTGATGTGATTTCTGGGTACATTCCAAACAATAAAAACCATTATCTCTCTGCGGTGTGACATAATGGCGACCTGATCCATGCCTTCTTGAGTAACCTCAAGTATCTTTGTAGCGATGGAAGACCATTTAGACAGTTGTTCTGGGAATGTTAAGCACCCTAGCCACATACTCTGGACTTCTTACATCTTTCAACAATGCTATCTATGATTCTAGCCAAATCTCTATCATTTCAAACCATCACTCAAACAAATTTGAAACTCAAAAATCAAAACTTAACAAAATCAAACCAGCAGAACATTAAAAAATAACTTTAAAGAAAAACCAACAAAGAAGAGATTGACTATTCAAAAATTTATTTACAAAATACAATGGTAAGCACAAGTGGAAGATTTTATCCGTATTTTATTTACCTTTAAAACGAACCAAAATTGTTGTAAGATAATAAATCAATGGAGGATTGCTTACGAGATAATTAAAAATATTAAGGATGGCCACTGTTTTACCCTCTCAGTGTATATTGTATACTACAGTGAAAAACCCATAAATGTGAATAAATAAAAATAAAAATGAAAAAAGAAAATATTTATTTTTTGTGTGCATTGGGAACATTTTACATAATTCAATATAATTTATTAAATTGCTATTGATAATTTGATTTTTTTAAATTATGTCTTTAAAATTTGGCTTGGGCAGTAAATAATTTTGCCCAACAACTTTTATTTTTATTCTTATTACAGCCTTTATTAAAACTTTTCACCTGCATTTTTACTTATTTGTTTTTTATTTAATTACTTTTATTTTTTATATATAATGGATCATAAAAACAGCTTTACTAAATAATGGTTAGTTTTTTATTATGTACATACAACATTTACATTAATAAATTTCAAATGTTAACTTTTATAACATTAACTTAAAAATGCAATAGAGTAAGATACAAGATAAATATACAAAAAATGTCAACAAATTGTTCCAATTTCTACTGTTTGTAGATAAATAAATATGCTCGGTTTTTATTTTTTATTTTACTAGTTATTCTTCTTGCAATTATTTTTTTATTAGAAGAATAGCGATATGTTTTGAAATGACAAAAATACAAGTTATATTTTTGTGTACATTATAATGCAAGCGAATTTTAGACAAATTAAAAACATCAAAAAACAAGCACTTTAACAAATTAGTTTGTTTCAACTGTTTCATTTTCACAGGGTGATGGTGGCTCTTCAATAACAGGCTCATTTTCAGCTGTGCCCTCAGCATCGTCTAGAGTATTGGTTGTGACAGGATTATCTAGTACTTCACTTTTTGGTTCTTCTGTTATTTCTAACACTTGCTCACTTTGTGTTTCCATTTCTGTTTCAACCACTTTCAATTTTTCCTCTTCTTCTTCAGGTGACATCACTGCTTGGGTGGTTACTTCTTCCAAAGATTGGGATTCGAGCATTTCAGCTGGTTCCATTTCATCCGCTGCAACATTTTCATTTGTCGCTTCATCAGGTTTTGCTTGGGAATCGTCCACTTTTGGGCTTTCTTCTGTTGCCACACTCTCATTTTCCTGGCTTTCAGTCACTAGAACATCTTCAGTCTTCTCTTCAAACTGTGGGTTACTTTGTTCAGTATTCATCGGCTCGACGCTCACTTCGTCTTGAGGTTCCTGGGGCGACACTTCTTCTTCTACACAGGGCTGCATTTCTGTAGTAGGCTGTTCTGCCAATTCTTCTGGTTGAACTTCTTTCAGTTCTACTTCTGGTTGAACCTCTTCAACATGGGGCCCAGTTTCAGTGGTTTCAAGTGTAGATTCTTTATTGTCAACTGGCTCTTCTTGTGGTAAGTTACAATTTTCTTCTTCAGCTGCTGGAGGTGGTGCAGATTCAGTAACCTCTTCTTCATGGTGCTTAGGAACTTCTTCTGCTGTTTCATTGGAAGTAACTTCATTGTTTGTACTCTCCTAAAACCAAGAACAATATTGTTACCTATAATACTTCTTTCTTCCTTAATAATGTGACATTGAAAAAATATTGTAATTTGATTATTGATCATTTTGACCTATCCTTCCTGGATTGGTCTGTCAAGAAAGTCTAGGTAAACCAAAATGTATGTAATGCCTTTTTCCTGCCTGTAATTGGTTCACTGATCTGTACAATAATGAAATAAAAACGTTTTGTAATGATTAAATTATAGGTTCATCACCCAGCAGAGACAATACAGAAAATTGAAATTAATTAAAATTAATTTAATTATTTTTTATTTTAAAATTAATTAGCAATTTAAAAGAAATATTTAAAACGTATTGTTGGAACTACTGCATCAGATAATGGTATAAACATCACTTATCTGTTTTTCAAGCTCAAAGCCCGCAAATGAACCCATTTAAAATTTACCTACTAATCTCACTCCTTGCTTTTCCAAAAACTACTCAGCCTAGAAAAGAATTGAATAATTTTTAACATGAGGGGGTTTATGTTAGGCTAAGTAGGGTTAGGGTTAGGGGCAGATTAAGTAGGGTTGGGTTAGGTTAGGGATGGGTTAGGTTACTTTATGTAAGATTTGATTAGGTTGTTAGATTAGGGTTTGAGTTAAGGATGAATTCAGTTAGGTTGAAGCTTCTAGTTTATTTAAATATAATAGTTCAAAAAAAATTAATCATATATGGTGATTTTATTTTATATTTTTGTTACAGAATAAACGGGTCATTTATGATCTCCTTCTTTTTAAGTTCAATACATAATTTTATTACATGTACTTGAAACTAAGTTAATTTTTCTGATGCAATTTTAATATTCAATTTGTGTTTTCTTTGGTGATTGATCAGCCTTCTCAGTTTAAATATATTTTTTCTTTACAAAAGGTAGATTGGGGATGAGGCCAGGAAGACAGAAACAACATTTATTTTCTTGTCGAGCTTTTGACAGAATATATCGCCTTCATCAGGACTCTTGTCGTCCTGGCCTCATCCCCAATCTGCCTTTTGGAAAGAAAAAATATATTCAATTTGTGGATAAATTTTTAAAAATATAACAAAAAACTAATTTTTATTGTATTTATTTTATTTATTATTATTATTTGACATGGGCATAGAATACAAAGACTTACCTCCATGCTTTCATGGATAATTTCTTGCTCTTCAGGCTTGCTATCATTGAAGGTCGCTTTTGGAGGCTCCGGCTCATAAGCCTTCATAGGTTCTTCTTCAGGGAGGACAGGTTCAAGTGGTATTTCAGGTTTTGATTCTGGCTCCTCTTTGCTCTCTGGCACGACTTCAGCACTAAATTCAACATCTTCGACTGGTTCGGGAGATTTAGATTTAATACTGGCAACAGCGGTTTCAACAGGAAAATCTTCTTTACTTTGTTTCCTTTGTTTTTTAGTAACCGACTCTGTTTTGAATTCAGGTACATTATGTACATTTTCTTTTTCTTTGTAATGATGTTTTACAGTGGTTCTTTCAACCATGGGCTCATATTCGGTATTCCTTGTATATTCCCTCTTTGATTTATCCGCGTTACTTTTATCCTTGTCCTTGTATCTTTCTTTACTAGCTGCCGATGCTTTCTTGATAGGCTGAAACAATTTAACAAACTTTAGAGTGTTATTATTGTTTAGTTTAAAGCGACATTCTTACCGAAGTAAATAATAACGCTTTTGATTCATCACGTGGGGTGTATACATTTCTCTCAGTAAGAAGGAGCCGAGATGCGAATCCTAATAAATTAAACAGTTGTTAATATATAATTAATTATACTCATTGAAGTTAAAAAACAATTCAAAAAGCTTTTTTCTGGTTGAAAACTTAGTAGCAAACAATGGAATTAGTTTCAATAATCAAATTTATAACTTTCATGCATAAGTTTTCACTTTTGACCATGTTTCTTTGTTCTATGGGGACTTAACATGATAAAGGAAATTAAACAACTCCTAGGCTATTTGTACAGCATTTTTTTTATAATTACACAGCACATAATTTTATCATTATTAGTATTCTAAAGTAAGGTGTTTTGTTATAACTTTTTATTAATAAGAACTTAATATTCCTTTGGATATATTTTGTTGTTTTTTAGTTTATGAATAATAAACATGTATATCATTTTAATTTACAAGTGTATAGAATTAATTTATTATTAAAAAAAATAATATTTGTTTTGTACAATTAGGCACTATGTCAACAAAAATTTGAAATAACGCCAAATTGCCAAACTCTGGCCACAGAAATAAATAGATAATTAGTTATACAAGCCAAGTTCAAGATGATTACACCGAAAGGAATGATTCATTTGCAGATATAGCTTCAGTCGACTTAAGATATCTCAACGTGCCACTTGTGAAATGGTCAGGTAGGACATTTTTACACCTTTAAATATCAAAATATTGACTAGCGGTTATTTTAATGTTTAAAATAATACAAAATGCTTTGTGTGATGTGTTTATTGGTGTTTCTTTCTGTTTAGGGCGATAGAAAATTTATTCATTCTTGAAAATATCTGTCCAATACTTCACTTCAATTTTAGATTAACAATTGTTTAATTTATGTGCAATTTGTGTTTAGTATCGGTAAGAGAATAAACTTGAATAAAAAAAATTGCTAATTCAAATCACATCTTTGCTTTTTGAACAATGAATTTGTTTTTCAATAAATTATTTCAGTACTTAAAGCATACTATTTGTATTAAATATTACTAAGCATATGTACAATAGTGTCTCTACTCTAAGCATATATAATTTTACAACAATTGTAACAACTCCACTGATATTTCATTTTTTTTTTTTTTGCCATTTTCAGTGAAAGTCTGGCAGACCAACCAAGCAAGGATGGGCAGACCAAGATGATCGGTAATGATCAACTTATTGTTTCATCACCCTGTAGACCACACGAGGAAATTTCGCAGTAAAAACCTTTAAACAATGTCCTGGGTTAGTTATTCCTTCATCTAATAACATAAAACTGTAGTTTGATCTTTATCGATCATCTTGGTCAGCATGTCCTCGCTGGGTCGAACTTCTGATATCCAGACCAGGATGACCGATAAGGATCAAATTAGACAGTTCATCATCCCGCACCCGTAGGTCATTCTCATGAAATATAAAACTCTTCATATCTATTTCAAGAAGGCAATATTAAAAATAAAACGTTATTAATATCATGACTTTTTTGCTGTAGAAAATTTAGGTTAAAAAAGGCTGTTTATAAACTGTCAAGAATAGCTGTTGCCAAAAAAAATCTATTTGTTCACACCATTAAATTGTTTTCTGTTACAAAGTTTTGTTAAAATGCCAACTAAACAACACTTTATTTTTGTAATTGTGCGGGGAAAAGAATAGAACAATCAGAAGTGGCAATTATGATAGTTATTCTAGTCAACATATTAAATTTCCCTAATCTATTTTTTATTTATGCAAAATCGTAATATTATACTGTGTCTTTTTACAATATTGATTCTTTTCAGTTTAGATTCATACTTTGTTTCTTCTTGAGGTTGCAGCAGTTTGGGTTCGAAAGAGGTCGTACTAAAATTGAAGTAAATGTTTTCAATAAATGTTAAGGCAAATTCGAAGCTTGAATAATGAAACAACCAGGTAAAGGTAGGAAAACGTCCAAAAGCCTCAACCAAAGCAAACAGTAGCCGGAGTGGATGGTCAAGAACAATTTTGAAAATTTGTCAATTTACAACAAAACTAAAAATAGCACAAGAAAATGTTTTTCTTTTTCAGCTATATTTCACTTATCCATGTTCTCTTTCTATTGTATCAACTAAACCATGATTTACTTACATTTACTTACATCAACTTGATGTTAACAAAAAGGAAAGGTGAGCAAAATTTTTCTATTGTATTAATCACTTAAATTAACACAAGTTTATATAATTTTATTATACTACTCCATGTTTCTTCAGTAATTAAAATTAGACATTATGATGTCTAAAATTATTGCCGGTTATTTTAAGTGAACAAACATCCACGTTAACGCTCAAAGAGGGGAATGGAATTGGGGGGAATGGGTCTATGACTACCACTTGGTCCTCAGCTCCACCACAAACAAGCCGAATTACTAGCCATACAAACACACATACAATATACAATACGTAAAAATACTATCAGCCCAGGCAGTTGTTTATTCAAAACTAATCTGGCTTAAATATGTTTAAAAACAACTTGCAAACAAAACAAAAATTTCAGCAAATTTGACGGAAATAATATATTTATTTTGAAATGTATGTAATGCACAAATTCAAATATTCATATAACTAACAAATCAATTCTATGAAAAATTATACAGGACAGTCTAACACAAATATTTTTATTGTCAAGCTTTCAATAATAAAGTAACCATCATCAGGGCTTTACTATATTACAATCCTTTATTTTTAAACCCTTACATTCTCCTTTTCAATCTAAGTTATATTTAAACTTTATTACTTTGAAGATGATGTTTTTTTTAATCAAAATTAATTAATTAATGTTCAGAAAATATTATGTAAACCCACATTTTTAACTGTTTGTTCAACTAATCACAATTTTTTATTACTGTATTATAATTTATTTTCTAAAATATCAGTGAAGTTTTGTTACAATGTTGACTGATGCATTAGGTTGTTCTAAGTTTTTATTATAATGTTATTTACATAATTACTTGCTTATTTCCCATACCTTAGCAGAAAATTACAAATACTAACAATAATTAATTATTCTGGATGTAGACAGGCAAACTTCTGAATTTGCAATATTTTAATGAAATTAACATAGCCACTAAATCTGAAATAAAGCTACCTAAGACTGCCACATCATATTATTAATGTTGCATAGTGTGTTGGCTGATACATTGCAAAACCTTTCGAGTGTATTTAATTAAAGTGTACTTTATGAAAAATCTGTCTATTTATATATTGATGAGGATGTGTGAAAAACTTATCAATCCTGACAAAAACATATACAGTACAAAGGAAATGGCGTTAAAGGCGGGCAATATTCACAAGGATATTTGCAAAAAGGACTGTTTGGCCTTATCCAATCATATGTTTCAGTGAAAATTTTAGTTGAAAAACTAATCCACTTGACAAAACTGTGGGTTTTTAAAATTAATTTTTGGATTTAGCATTGCGACTACAATGTTTTTAGGATCGATACGCAAATATACTTTGTGTGACCAAGTTCCCATTATAGATTTTCATATTGCTGGGAGTGTACATGGGTCGAGTTAGATTAGGTAGGGTTAGAGTTATGGACAGTTTAGGTTTGGTACAGTTAAAGTTAGGGACAGGTTAGATTAGATACAGCTAGAGTTAGGGACAGTTTAGGTTAGGTAGACTTAGAATTACAGAGAGTTTAGGTTAGGTAGGGTTGGGGTTATGAACCAGTTAGGTTAGGTAAGGTTAGAGTTATGGACAGGTTAGATTAGGTACAGTTAGAGTGATGGACAGGTTAAGTTAGGTAGGGTAGAGTAACAAAATGTTTAGGTTAGGTATGGTTGGAGTTATGAATTGGTTAGGTTAGGGATGGGTTTGATTACATATCCATGATTCAATATTTTCTGAGGTAGAGAAAATGTGAGTGCAAAGCGTGAGTTTATTTATATTTTAGCAATTTTCATTTTTACTTTTATAATTCTCTTTAATTCCTAATTAATTATTAATAAACGAGGAATGTTGTATGCCAAAATAATAATCTATGAATAATGTAATAATCTAATAATAAAATAAATGAGAAATAACCTTGTGATTATTTATTTAGTCCAAAATCATTTTACTATTTAATCAAGTATAATTTCATATAGAATAAATAAAAATTTTGTATCATAAATTGTTTAGGTTTCGTTATAGTTCAACATATGATTCGACAAGGGCCAAAAAAATACACTGTTCCACAAATTGCTTGGAGGCAATTATTTTCTAAGCGTACCATCACTTTTAATAAGACATGTACAAATTTATTTACAATTCAGAAACGCTAATAAAAATTTACCTGGTCATTTTTATTTGATGTCAACCTGCATTAAAATTCACCATGTTGTCGTCCTATCTTTTCCTTAATATTTTCAATAATACAAACATAAGTGATTTTTGTTTAAGAACTTGGTCTTAACAAGTTTTAGCATTGCAGAAATGCTTTTAATTTCCTTTAATTTTTTTAATACTGGTTTGTTGAACACATTTCATTTTTTGGAATCATTATTAAAGAATAAGTCTTTTTTATAGTGTTATTTACATTAAACCACCAAAAAATAAAACCCACACAGGATTTTTGGTTTTTATATATAAAAAATATTCTATGAATGAACAATCATAGTTGACTACATACTTACCAGTAAATAATGTTATAAATAAAATAACTTACACTCCCTGTCAAAAGGTTCACGGGATCAACCTCCGACTACCCTCAAAATGCTAAATTCGGCTAGAGGAATGGGTTGTTCAATTTAAAAATAAAATATTTTGTACTTTTGAGTATTTTTGATTTATGTAAAGCCAGATGTTCTCGTAAAATAAACTAATTTCAAGATGTTGTAATTTTTTATTTATTTAATTAATTAATTAAATTTTATTTATTTTATTTACTTTTTTATTTATTTATTATTATTTTTTGACGGGGAGTGTGTATTTGATCACTACTTCAATCTAGCAATAGAAAGTAGAGGTGTTCAAAATCATGCAAAGATAAGGGGAGTTTTAATGTTAACTACAACAGAGAAACTAAAATTCAAAAAAACACACATATAACAAAAGTTGCACAAATTTGAATAAAATATGTTCCAATAGTTCGTACTATTTTTCAGTAATATGATAATTAACTATTAGATTTTTGTTTTAAGAATATTCTTATTCTTAAAAAAGAACCAAATTTACAAATTGAATGGGTACTTTTTTTTTGGGGGGGGGGATTGTATTTTATTTAATTACAAAAAATAAAATAACTAAATCATTATAGGTTAACATTTATTGAAATATTTTGAGGTAGATATTGCAGGCACAATATTTTCAATTATCAGTAACAAAGAAATGAAGGGTTAAAGAAAAAAAAAGAAGTAAAAGTTTCTCCAAACGGATTTTATACGCACTTTAATTTGAAAGTTTTTGTTTTTTCATTATATATGTTTACAATAAATAATTGGATAACAAAATTATTGTACAATAACATGAAGAAAAAAATTGCTTGTTTTGAAAAGTTAGTAAAAACCATTTATATAATGACATTGGGAAGTGCTAAATTTCAACGGGTCATTAAAATCTATTTAGATTCACCTGTAGGAAGGAGTAAAGCCTCTGCAGTTCGTTTTGGATTCACTATTTTACTGTAATAGGATCGAAACTTAATTTCATCCCCGATATCTCGGTTTTCATCGCTGTAAAGGTGTTTCCTCTTTGGATATCCTCGGCCTCCGGCAAAAGAGACACATGCCAAATGCCCTCGACCTGAAACATCGCACAAATAAAATATCACATGGCAAGTTAATCCAAGTAAGTAATTTTTGAACAGATGAATTAGTGTTATTTAATTAATTTTTTTTTTAATATAAGGCATCATTCTGGAGTATTGGAAAGTCAGTGTCCATTAAAAAAAAATTATTCTCTAAATAATAAAAGATGAAATGGTGAATGTACTTTCAGTCGGCGCAGGTCTTTTGTATAACTTCATTGGCACTATGTCACTTACCTATTACGAAGCATAATAATGAAGAAAGAAAAACAAAAAGCTAAACAAATGGTCAGACTTAGCAAGGTTCATGGGATCAGTTCATGTACAATATAGAAGCAGATTATTAATTCACTATTTTCGTGGTCTGCTTGACCAATTAATACATAACAATTAATTACGGTTTTTAGTTGAGATGAAAAAAAGCTAATGGCACGAGAGGAATTCGAACCCATGACCTTCGGCTAGATACGCTAGATATTTGAAAAATGGCAAAAGGAGGGAAAACTCATAAGGTGGGGTTGAGATGGGGAGTTGATGTCTGAGTGGATCGAGGTCACGATAGCTCAGGTGGTAGAGCAGCGGCGTATCTAGCCGAAGGTCGTGGGTTCGAATCCCTCTCGTGCCATTAGCTTTTTTTCATCTCAACTAAAAACTTTAATTAATTGTTATAGAAGCAGATGTTCATGGTATTATCAACGGTATACCTCTGAAGGCCAAATCTTACTGGTATACTGACAGCTCAAAAATGGATAGATTTTATAATAAGATTTACACGGGAGCTGGAGTCTTAGTTATGAATCCGAAGACTGAACTGACTTTAAACTTAGGTAAATACGCTATAGTTTTCCAGACTGAAATGACACTGCTCCAGAGAACTAAAAAACGAGGAACACATTCCAGTAAGACAGCCATTTTCTTTCACAATCAGGTGGCACTTAGGCAAAGGGAGTATGGAATCCCTGGCAGAGGTCAGTGACACCAAACCTGACCCTGGCTTGGATTCCTGAGCATTTGAGACTTACATGGGAAAGTGAGCATGTTGTCCTAAAAGAGCCAATATGAATTCTCTAGGCCCTGAACCCTATTGTTTTCTAGCATCTTGCCACAAACAAGGATACATCCAAAAATGGCTTCTTAATGAGTCTGGTGAACACACCCAGGCATGAGACGAAGAGATGCATAGAAGGACCATCCGGAAGACATCCAAAGGAAATACTGGAAGGTAATCGCAACAGAATGAGGATTCTTGTCAGACTCCTGACAGATTGCCACCTAAGAAAGCATATGTCCAGAAAGGAGTACTGACAGAAGAAATACTTTGCAGATATGGCCAAGAAGAAGAGATCACAGAACACATTATATGTTTTTATGAGGGTGTAGGTGTAGATTTTTGTAACTAGGAGTGGAAAAAACACAAGCAAGTTTCTTCACTAAGGGGCCGCTGGCAAAGCTAGGAGATTGACTAAGAACATGAAGCTGGCCAGTGAGTTATAAAAAACTAGAGGAGCACAACAGATCTACTCAGGTCGAAGTGCGGAAGTCCTTGTAGCCACCTCATTTATCCCTATCCCTATCTCTATGTTCATGATAGACAAGAAGTCACTTAGTTAATCAGACGACTGAACCAGAAGGAAAAGTATACTGCTCACCTGAATGTAATAAATAAAACAAAACCTAGAACACTATCAGGCACTAGACAAAAGAAGAGGCATTGGACCACAGCTAAACAATACAATAACTGATAGTTCAGGTAGACAGATTTGATTGTGAGATGGAAAGACTAATGAATCAAACAAAAAATAGAAAAGCAGATAGACCTACTGGAATTGGAAATGGGTTTCTGAAGTAGGTGGTTTGCTTTTGAAGCTTCTTCTCTGGCACCTCTTCAATAAGGTTAAAAAGGTAAAAGAAGTCAGCCTTTTTACGACCTTACACACCTTGACCAATATTGATCTATTGTGCCATCTGTTGCCATCTCCATTACTATCTAAAGCTCTTCATTAAGATTAAGGCTTTTTATCAAGAACTCTCATGGGTATCCTTCAGGCGTTGACTTTTCCTCTCCCAGGAGGAATCTCAGCCTTCGTGCCAACAGAGGACATGTTCCATAGTTTCTTTTTCTTCCTGGCAATATCTGCACAGGCTTGTTTCTGCTGTTCTGAATTTGCAGTGTTTAGTCACCAGTATAACTATCCAGTTTCTGCCATAGTCCTCAGTCCTGAAATACAATCCTACTATACCGAGGACTTAATCTATTGTATGATGGATCTATATTTTTGGCAATTTAGTTTGGCTGCAATAAGGTTCAGAGTTGATAGGTGTCATCAAACTTGATTGGCCAATTTATTAGCCTCCTTGTTGCCCCTGGTACCCAAACAAGGGTAATTTTGTTGTCTCCAATGTCTGACAGAGCCTTGATACTTCGCCATACAGCTCTGGATGGTTGTGGTGCCTTTACTGACATTTGGCTGTCTTTTGTTGGTTATGCCAGCCTTTTGATCTCCTTGGTTTTTATACGTTTTACCTGGCCATGACCAGACATCCGAGCACAACAATGATATGACCTCAAAGATCGAATGGTTCCAAAGAATGTAAGGAACCACTCAATAGAGCTCTTGGGTTTAATCAACCCCAGTGCTGACATATTCTTGGACACTAATGCAGCAACATGAGCAACGAACCCTAGCAGAAGAAACGAAAATCTTACAGCAAGTCAAGGTTAGTACATTGAGAGACTAGATCCATTATGAAGCCATCCAAGAAGAGTTTGGATTAAATAAAAAAAAATGACTTTTTCACTTTGAGGAAATGGATTTCTTCTTCCCATAATCTTCTTGGTGGATACTTCCCGGCTATTTCAATGTGTGATTGGCCAAATAGCCGCTGAGACAGAGTAAAATCATGATAACAATGGTTGAAAACAGCACTGGGCAATGTCACTCAGCTTTGTGCCATCTTCAGTGAGGAACTCCTAGTAAATAGACCCAGTACAACCAACCACAGATCAACATCCACCATCATCTTTAATGTTAGGGTAATTGTAAAAATTTACTTACCAATTGTAACTCTTGACGGTTCATTGTAATAGGACAAATTTAAAACGTTTGATGGGACATCACGGTGATATGTCAAATACTTCGGGCTTGAGTATCTATCATCTGGAGGGGTGTAATAACGGTCGTAAGTTCTGTAATATTTATCCAAAAGTTATAATTGGTGATTATTACTTTTTTTAAAACTAAAGTGAAATTACTAGTGTCGACATTTCTACATCCTTGTACTTGCTAAAATTTAAATTCTCTTTAAATTAACTTCTATTTAGTTTATTGAACTGGTACCAGGTCACTTTCTGGTCCTGTCTGAATCTAAAATTGTTCGCAGACCTAGTAAGTGACCTACCTAGTGCCAGTTCAACATGATTAGCAAACCAACATCCGCCATCAACTTTAATATAATAATTTGCATAATTTAAAAGTCCACTAAATGTACACAAAAAATACATAATGTTATATTTTTCTTTTGTATTTTTTAAGACAAGGCCATTTTAACAGCACTTACAAAGATCAACTATATGTTACGGTTATAATTATATAAAAAACTTTTGTAGTATAAATTACAATAAAAGAGAAATATCTCACGTCAAAACTCCAAGAGGTTGATATTTTTCACGGTGTGGGACTTGGGTATAGACGTATCTCATAAGCCTGTCCGCCTGTGCCCTTATCAACTTGGTTTCATCATCAAAACTCTGTAATTTATTTAAATTTATTATAATTTTTTTAAGGGATGAAATTATTAAATTGAATTTATACTTTCAATATCATCTACATAACAAACAGAACAGGCAAATGATCTATTATAAATAAGGAAAAACAAATTTCCATTCCATTCCATTCCATTCATTCCACATCAATTTCATTAAAGTAAGTATTCAATTGGCCAACAAAAATTGTTACGAAGAGCAAGGCATAAAATTCGATGAAATAAACAACAGACTATGCATGTAAATTAAGTAGTTGGTTTAGTCTTTATAATTATGCATAAAATACTATACTTAATATAAAAATGCTTGTGAATACTTGTGAAAATCAAGTTAAACTATTTAAAATTTATTTATTTTTAGCATCAAATATTCATCTGATTGTGTTATTTATTACTTATTTCATATTATTTGCACATATTCTGTATTATACTATCCTTTGCTTAGAAAACACTTTTGTTTGCTTGATTTAAGAAGCAAAATTTGTGATAATGCTGTTTTTTCTTTTTCTTTTTTTTTTTTACTTACAACAAGTGATCTTGAATTCAAATAATCTTCTGTGGGGACACTGCCAACGTGTGGCCTTGGTCTGTGTTGTATTCTATTTAGCTCACCCAAAAGTTCAGACATTCGCACTTTGGAATGTATTCCTGCGGGTGGTATTAGAGTACGGATAGTTATAACTGGCCTGCATCCCTGAAATTACATACAATGACAGAACGAGCATTTAAGTTCAAGTCAGTCCTTTCGAACTGTGTTCACAGACATGAATTTCGCTGGAAGCTGTAAGCGGATTAATTTTTATTCTGTGCCTTGACAAGCATAGCGAATTGATATTTATTTATTTTTTAATTATAAAAAGGAATTATTTTCTTCAAAAATCAAACAGCTACTAGTAAATATTTAGTATATTTTAGTCAAGAAGCCAATTTGTAATTAATTCAATGTTCTAGTCAAAAATAAATTCTATGATATACTCACAGATGAATGACTCTTATATTCCCTTGAGTAAGAAATACAAATCTTAGATTTGATGAAATGACCAAAAGATGAATTACTCTATCCCAAAATTCTTTCAACTTAAAATATTGTCTTTACATTTTATCACAGTATTTAACAATAATTTCTGTGATGAGAAAGAAGACAAATCCATCCTCACTTAGACATATTACCAAACAAAAACGATTATAGTTTAACCTTTTATGCTATACACAAACCCTGCTTGTATATGTTTTTGGCCTAGATACAGAATTGTGTTTTTGGATCATAATTTTTGCATCACTAGGAGTTTAGTTAGGGAGGGTTTACAGGTTAGGTTTACGGGTGGGTTGGGTTGGAGTTAGGCTTAGGGTCGGATTAGGTTAGGTGAGGTTGGTGTTAGAGTTAGGAACAGGTTAAGTCACATATCCATAAATCAATTTTTTTCTGTAAGGTGGAGAAAATAAGTGAGTGTGATGAGATAGAAGGCAAAACTGCCATGACATAGATGTTTTGCTAAACAGAAACAATTATAGTTTGATCTAGTATGCTACATACAAAGCCTGCTTTTAACATGAATAGGTTTTTGCCTCGATATAGAACATTTTTTTCATGATCAGTTTTTGCTCATTGAGGCGTGTGTATGAGTTAGGTTTAGGGACAGGATAGGTAGGGCTAATGTAAGGTTAGTTTTAGTGATGGTTTAGGTATGGTTAGGTAAAGTAGGTAGGTAAAGCGGATTGTTAAGTTTTTTAATATAGTTCAATGTACATTTGTAGCACGATTATATGATTCACCTTTAATTCTAAAGAGAACACTGGGAAAAAACTTGGATATCACTATGATTGGATACTCACTAGTGGAGTATGTATGAATTGACTTCTTTTGTTCAATATTAATTAGCTGATGAGTAAAACCAAACTATAAAATCGTTGTATTAGCCTTTTTCATTTATCGGTAAATACAATGAAATGCATAACATATAATGTAATTATTGCTATATGAAGTATTATACATCTACAACACCTAGACAGTGAATCTGCACATTATAAAACATTGTTAATTTAAAATAAATATAGTTTATGGTTTACACAAAATAACATTTTAACCACATTCTGACATTATAAATGCCAGTGAAAATAATATTTCTACAGTGTAAAGCACATTCAGGATTATGAATATTTCAATATTTACTATTCATTGTTTTTCAGTTAGCTGGCAAAACATGTCAATTGTGTTAAATTAATGACATATTCTTCTATTAGTTTAAAGAACATATTCTAGAAGAGTATTACTAATAGTTTAAATAACAGTGTAAAACCAGCTGTCGAACTTGCTACATAGCCGACAATATTGAATCTGAGTAATACAATATTTTAAATAATATTAATCCTTAACTCGGCATTCTATCTCTAGAAATACAAGGACAGGTATACATATTAATTCCAAAAGAAACGCTAAGCAAAGTTGTGTGTTTTATATATTTTTAAATTTATGTTATGTTGTTCATGGTACGTTATGATGTTTTACAACTAAAAAAAATTTTTTTTTTGCTTACAAACATGAGTGGAGTTTATATTTTTAAGTGTTAAAATAATGTGCTGGAATGTTTTTAGAGTAGATATGAAATTTTGTTTGTGTGACCATTTTTGCTTCATTGATTTCAAATTTTGTTATGTTAGGTTAGATTAGGTGGGTGGGTATAGGGTTACGGTTAGGTTACAGATACATGATCCAACGTTTTTCCATGAAGCAGAGAAAATATAGAATATATATTTATTTTTTATGTAATTTTTTTGGTGTTATTTTTATTTATTTTTATTTCATGTCATAATTACAATTATGCGACTATGAAGTTTTATAACTATGTATTAATTTTCTGTGAACCTTAACTGATTTTAAATTATTTTTTATTATGTAAAAGAGTGTAAACATGATTTTTTCTCATTGGTTTCTTTGCATCACTTTACTTGGTAATGCATCCTCAGAGAAACAAATTTAAAATTAAATCTCTAGTAAAGTATTCACCATTGGTTCAAATATTTTCCCATCATATAGACAGTTATAATCTGTTCAAGATCTGAATAATTCAACTATTTTTCTCTTTACCAAGTTAAGGGTTAAATTCATACTAGTACTTACAAATGACAGCCAGAGTGAGAGAGAGTGAAATTGATATTTTAAAATTATTAATATTAATTACTAGTTTCATATTTTTAACAAATGACAAAAAAATTAATATAAGAAATAATATATATTTAATAAATATATATTTTTATATTTAATAATACATTTGTAACTTTGTTTGTAGAACTTTTTTGTATAGAGATGACCTTTTTTACTTTCAAGCATTCTGCAGTTACTAGATTGAACAAAATGTCATATTAGAATAGTTATAGTTGAAAAAGGTACTTTGACCAATTTAGTTTATCTGTATGGTTATTTAATGTTATTTTCATACAATAATGACCCAAATGTGCTTCATGGGAGAAAAATAAGAGGTTTTAAGAATAAGATTGTATTGAGATGGTTTGTTGTATTTTTGCTTGATTTAACAATAAAATACACGTGTAGTTTTTGACAAAATAATAGCTGTTTGAGGAACTTTTATTTTTATTTATCTAACATTTTGGTAATCAAAATTCTGTTGGACCACCGAAAAAAAAATCTTTAATTGATCATTTTTATTACTTGAAACAAAAAATTATACAAGGTAATAAATATACATTTATAATTTCAAGATTGGAAAAAGTACAAAAACATACTGTCCTACGAAAGTCAAAAGCTTCAGATTTCCACAAATTCCACGCTTAATTTTAAACAATTGGTAAGGATATTTCAAGGAAATGGTGAATAATGAATGTTGAAGAGGTTTTTCTATTTTACAGAAACAAAGAGGTTTGGTGGAATTTAAAATTTGGTCATTAGATAAGTAAATTTGCTGTTGCCAAGTTTGTTAAATATTGTTAATGCCAACAGTAGTGATGAAGTTACTGAAAATCAATTATTAGGATGAACTACTAAATATCGAGTAGCACACAGCACAAATGATTAAATAAAAATAATCTATAATATTTTGTAAAATTGCCAATTTTTATTTACCCATTTGACTTTTTAGTGGCTTTATTAAAAATTTGTTAATGGACTGCGAGAAAACTGCATTATTTCTAATTAGATTTTTTTTTGGCTTTGAAAAACTTTATAAATTAATCTTACCTAAACAGAAGTCGAGTGTGATGAATAATTGGTGGCTATTCGGGATGACTCAATAAGTATAAAGGAATTCTGGATGGTTCAGGGATTTGATAAGTCTCTCTCAGTTATAAACATTTTTTTTCTTTCTTTTTGTTATATCGATAGGCAGTTTGAAATTATTTACAGAACCTCAGGTTAATTTTGCACTGATAAACTTCCCAAAATTATAAATGGTGAACAACAGACAAAAAGTAAATTTTTTCAATTTAAATATATTGTCTATTTAATATCTGATTGATTTTAAATACTATTAATTCCATCTTCTTTGCATTTCTTCTATCATTTCTTGGGCCATGCGATAAACTATGAAAAATTGATTACACTAAAACAATAGCTGTGATTATTTTAAATGTTATAAATAAGTGCACTTTTATCATAATGTTAAAGTAAATTGTAAGTAAAATTAAACAAGATAAAATGAATACTCGTTGTTAATCTATGTTTCACACAATAAATAATTAGTGATTTTTTTAAACGAAAAGTCAAATAAATTATTAAAAAGCCTAAGAGTTATGAGAAGCTGATAACAGTGGATTAAACTCTATAAGAGTAATGACGGTAGGTTGTGCCATGAGGAAGACTTCCAGAAGAGGTAGAGGAATAAGAAGAATGGTAGGAACCGGGATAATCTGAAGATCTTGAGCTTCTTTCTGTTGAATAAGAGTACGATCCAGGACCTCCGAGGCTTGATCTAGACACAGTCTCGCTGCTTGAACTATAATTTCTTGTCGGGACCCTTGCCCCTCTCCTCTCTTCATTAGTCGACGAATAAGAATAAGAGTACTGCTCTTCGGCCGTCCTCGGTCTACTTGGGGTATCCAGTACTACATAATGCCGCGGGCTCTACAACAAACCATCTCTCTATTCAGCCCTTCCAAATAAAATTTTCCCCAATACTGTTAAACAAAGCTTACAAAAAAAATCTATAATTTATTTGTATTATTTGACTTATTATAAAGTTATGATTTTATTAATTTCTTTTCAATATTTGACATTTCTTATCATATTTATGTGATTGAAAATATTTTTCTATTCACATAAATAATTTTGTTATATCAAATTTTATCACTTTAGTCTATAAGCACAGAAATCAAAATGTTAAAAATCATACCTTTTCTAATGACCCAGTTTAAAAAAACAAAAAACCAAACATTTTCACTAAAACATGATTTATTTACATGGAAATGTAAAAACCTAAATTGTAAACTTGTCAGGGGAGAAAACAATTTGTAAACACATGCATTTCATCGCGAATTTGTAAATCAATGATTGCTGGTTAGGTTTATTAAGCAAATAAAGATTAGCACAAATATGATTTGCCGATGACAAGAATTATGAGCATGTCCTTCACTTTATTTACACATAAAAGAGCCTTACAACTAAAGCAGTTAAGTATCTTTAACACCATTGTCTCAAGAACAACATAAACAACAGTAATTCTCTGAATTGTCATTTTGTAATTATTATTTCACATGTGACAACAAATAATGAACATTAAACAATCTAAACTACACAAGAGTTTTTTTTATGAAGGTTAAAAAAAATTAAAAAGGAATTTATTTTTGACTGTTCAAATTTAAAATGTATAAAAGAAGTCGAAAGACCATATAAAATTAATAACAGTCTTATTTATTTCTGTAACTTTCATCCTCCATGTATTTTTATTTTTATTTTATCTATTCTCCACGTATATCCTAAAAGATACCAAATAGAGTGTTTGTGGGGAGATCAGGTTAGGTTAAGTTGAGTTAGGGATTGGTTAAGTAGGGTTAGGTTAGGGTACATAACCATGATAAAATGTTTTCCCGTGAAGAGAAGATAATATTCAAGCATTGTCATTTCGTAATTATTACTTCACATGTGACAACAAATAATGAACATTAAACAATCTAAACTACACAAGAGGTTTTACAAGCCGTAAGGAGAAAATTATTGTCCTAGTGAAACAAACCGTGTACAAGACATTTTACTCGAAATGGGAATGTTTTAATTATTATATCCAAATTACACAATGTTCTAACAAATACCAAATTCAATAATGGGGAAGTGGATGAACATGAAAAGTGAGAAAAAAATAGAATCTACTAAACTTTCATAATGGCCAATAGGGTGATACATTTATGCATATAGAGTATATTCTTATTAATATTTATACAAATAAGATAGTAAATATGTTTTTATTCTCAATAGACACTTTTCTTGCCTGATCATTTTTGTCTTACCAGGGTGTGCTTATGGATTGAGTTAGGTTAGGTAGAGTTAGATATAGGTTAGGGACAAGTTAGGTCGGTTTAGGTAGAGTTAGGGACAGGTTTAGGTTATGTATCCATGATTAAATGTTTTCCCATGAAGGGGGGGGGGAATATACAAGTGCAAAGCAAGAGTTTTTGTTTTTACTTACTAGTCACAAGGAGAAAATTAATTAGGGAATGTTAGGTTTAGGAACAGGTTAGGTAGAGTTAGGGAAGAGCTAGGATTAGGGACAAGTTAGGATATGTTAAGTAGGATTAGGATTAAGTTTCACACCCATGATTAAATGTTTTCCCATGAAAGGGAGAAAATATGCAAGTGCAAAGCTCCAGTTTTTGTTTTCACTGTAGTCACAAGGGTAAAATTATTGTCCAAGTTAAACAAAATATACATTAAACATTCTAATTGTGACAGAAATGTTTTAATTATATTATGGATATTATACATTGTTCTAACCATAACTTTTTTTAAAAAATTTTATTTTTGCTTCTCTGACTGCCATCATTCTGTAGCTTTTTATTATTATAACCAGTAATGTGAATCATATCAAGAAAAAAAAATCCAAAGGAGTAAATTCAAATTGCCAGTATTTAAACGACAAATTCAACTCATGCATATAATCTAACTTATGCATGCAACAGACAATTGCCTGTGAATTCCAACTACAAACAGCACATCCAACATACCACGCTACGGTGTTGCATGATAGGGTTAGTTTAAAATTTGAAATGTTTTTGCAAGTAGATTGAATTAATAATAGATTGTAGCGAGACATTTTGACCTCTTTTAAATTCTATAATTAATAACCTGAGGTGAAACATGGTGTAGAAAAAAAAAATTGGTTCAAAATAAAAATAACACGAAAATTATTGATAAATTATATTTATTCTCAATTTGATTTATATATTTTAATACAAACACATCTAATTTCTATTAAAAACAAAACATTTCAACAAGAGATACTATAATAGAAATCAAATTTGACAGCAGTTCTTATATCCAAATTAGAAAGGTGTCTAGCCGATAATATCTGTCCATATGTTAGTAGATTGTACTGAAGAGGTAACGCTTGTGGGAGAAAGAGGATTTAGGTGACTTGTCCGCAGAATAATAGTTACTCTTGCTACCATACACAGTGAACGGTTCTGGTATTTGGCTTGGCCTTGCAACAGTCGGACACTTCTCCCAAGGCACCCCACGCCTCTAAAAATATCAAAATCTTTGTTTCAAAAAATCAAACCTACCAAAAATCAATGGAAAATGTTCATGGTAAAGAGTATTTTAATTGAAAATCTGCCCATTGATAACTATTACAAAAGAACGGATTAAGAGCTGGCTTAAAATAATGTTTCTTTTTTTTTAATTTAAAGTTAAATTACAGTATGAAAATTAAATCAATCTACATAAAACTGCAATTCTCCATAGTATAAAATTCTGCCTGTATAATCCAACCCTGTGTGAGTCAAAGGTATAAATAATACTCTATGATAAAAAGAAACTTGATGAAAACAGACCTTTCTGACCAAAAGAAATAAAACATCCAACAAGTTCCATGAATTATTTATGCAAGATCACTTTATACACATTTAAATTAAACAAATGTAACACATTAATAAATAAAAAGTGGTCATAAGCAAACATCAATTATGAAGAAGTTTTTTAAAACTTTTATCGACTCAACTTTGACAAGGCAACCATAAGTTTCAGGTCTGGGCATATGGTACAATGATGGAAGAAGAAGAAGAAGTAAGTGTAGAGGTAAAAGGGTCAAATTACATCGTAGCAAAACACCTTGGACAGGTTCCAACTATCTTCCAAGCTGTCCATGCAAACCAACTCTGTGCACAGGTGTTGAAAAAGAAGAAAATTTACATATTTTCAGACAGCCAGGTAATATGAAGCAATGTAATTTAGTTCTAAACTAGTCTGGAAGTGCCTAAATTGATAAATGGCCCTAGGAAGGAACAAAATTATCTTGAGGAGGGTTTTAGGATATGAAAGTATAGAATGAACAGGCTGATCAAGCCAAAGAAGAGGTGGTTTTTTCGCCGGAGAATTAAAGTTGGAACTAGGAAACTGGCTTGAGAAAGATAAACTGAATCAATGAACAAATCCATGTATGAGACAAGTAAACAGATTCATAAATCTCTCTCAGGTGAAGGAATATTCTCTTAGCAGGCAAGATTTGAGGTAAATTATACGCCTCTTGACTAAGTAAAGAAGCTGAGCCAAACAGTTAGAAACATGGCACATATCTTTTGTGAATGTGAGGCACTAGGTGAGGGATTCACACACCAACAGAACTGTGTCGAGGCACTGAGGAAAGTTTTGTACTTTGGAGAAAAAGCACACTTTCTACAGGATTGTCTTAATCATGGGGGTTCCACAATTGCCTTAAGTTGCAGTGGAGTAAAGTTTGGAATCCTTACGTGTTACCCCTCCGAAAACATAAATAAATAAAACAATTTGGCTATTTTCTTTAAAATACAAGATTTTTGGTGGTTTTTCCAGCAACGAGGTACATGTGGTAGTCATCCTTTCATAAGCGCAGATGCAAAAAAAAAAGCAACAAATACAAATTCAGATTGTATGACTCTCGATTTTTTGACAATCCATAATTTTTTTTTGCTTGGCATATAATTACATTAACTTGTAATTGAAGAATGATTTTGGGATAGATTAGATTCCTATTACTTGTCTATAAGATAGGATCTATTGCAGGGTTGTTGTTTTTTGCATGAAACTGTAAATGAAATTGATACGATAAATTAGACCGAGCATTCCAGTCGTTTGGAATAAACATTTTTATTTTTATCCGATCGAGCAACTTCAAGCGGTATCTGCGACCCTGGAAAAAAAAAATGGAGCAGCCGTCTATTTTAAAACTGTAAGACATCTGTTTAAAAAAATAACTCTGGCAGGTTTATTTTCGGCTATTTTTCAAAGTGGTTCATGGAAGGAAAACAGAAGCCTTTAACAATTGCAAACATCGAAATACACTTTCAAGCGGACCTTGTATTACGCAGACTTTACTACACCTCGTAGGGGATTGACGATTTAAAATCGTCCTCTACATTAATATTACTAATGATCTTGACTCTGGTTCAATTTTGGCAAAGGCTTCTGTTTATATTTTTAAATACTCTACAAGTGTTGACATATGAATTCTTTTAGATTTTAAACCTATAC